CCCCAAAACCCCAAAACCCCAAAACCCCAAAACCCCAGGTTAACACAAATTATTGAAATTAATATGGTATCATTACAACTAGATTTTTATTATTTTGAATGAAGGAGTGTCCTCTTGCATGAATTCATCAGCATTCATGTAGTCACCATCAAGTTTGGCTCGAGACAACACCCCTAGATCGAAAGACTTCTGGAACGACTCTTTTGGGATTCAGGGTTTAGTCAACATATGATTCCCAATGATTGCAGTCCCTCTTTTAGACTTGTTTTTCCTGCAGTATGAATGCTTCCTGAATTTGTTCCTTTTAGACTTTCTTCTAGAATTGGCAGGCTCCTCTCCAATTTTAGTCATCTCCCTAACTTTGGAGGACTGGAATCTTTTCCTCATGGAAGAATTGAAAGAGGGAGTCACCGTCTTTTTGTTAAGGTTTGAAAAATGCTGTTTTCTACGATTTGGACAAATTGAGAGATTATTAATACTGTATTCGCAACGATCTTCCTTCGTCATTTTAGTGGCAGATTGGACAGAATAATCTTTAGCCATTTGGATCCTCTTCCAGGCCCATTCTTGAGAGTATTTCTCAGGCTGTTTTCTGATTGGTCTGGCACTGTTAAGTCTAACTTGGTTTATACCAGTAAAGGATTTCTTATAAGCAGCTTTTATACTTGAGCTGTAGGATTTGTTTCAAAAGGGTCTCAGTGGGGCTCCTTTGTTACAATAATCAAAATTGAATCTAAAAGCCTATCCCAATTCCTTTCAGCCATTCTATACATGTGAAATTGATATCGCTCCTAAAGCCAGGGACATGACTCACAGTGATGCCTTCATCTAAGACCTCCCAGCTAGCATCTGTTTCTTGCCCAAAGTCTCTTTTCTTCTTAATACTATTCTCTACATGTAATATTAGTATGTTTTAGAGCAGATTTTGGACAAGTAGAAACTTATGGAGTGCAGTATTATAAGCCTGATTGGTGAGCTAAAGAAAACTTCTAAGGATGTCGTTTAACCGAGATCGCCAGAATGTGCCTTATTAATATTCCTATGAAATACTGGTGAAATCAGCTTACTCTTGGCTCTAACTTTTGTGGCTGGCCCAAAGAGTATAGATATTTATAGAACATTACTCATGTTAAGCCATTTTATGCTATAAGACTCTAATCTTTTCACTCAAACATTTTGGGTAGGAGACTTCCTAGCCCCTTCGATACTTTTAAGCGGCAAGAGGAGATTTAGATGAAGTCAGTTGGTGGAAAACTTTAAAGAAGTACGGTAATGGCGTCAAGCTCACTATGTTACTTTATTAAATTTTCATACATATTTTACAAACACAAGGAGGTATATCAAGGCTAGTTTAGTAAACTAGAAGGCCTTAATTTTGTAAACTCACCAAATCAGACTTCTAGATTAATTTAAACTGATAATAATAGTGCTAGATCCTACTGAAAATTCAGAAGTTTAACGAAATATTTCAAATAATTTCAGTCGAAAGAATCGAATTTTCTTAATGGATGGGATTTCTAATAGTAATGTGAATCAAGGTTGAAGGAACACCCAAGATCCTAAATCAGGCTGCTAGGTCCCTATAATGCTTTGGTTGTAGTGTCCTGGTCACTTCGATTAAATTCGAAGTATTTGAACCGATTTTAGCACCAGTAGTTTTATATAATCCTATTGCAAATATTTAGAGTGGTAAAATTTAGTAATAAGCGAGTGTATATTCCGAATAATGGTACTAGGTATTTACCGTCAGATATCTAGAAATATAAGCAATTGGAGAATAATCAGTATTTCTCAACATGGATTTATCTCCAATAGATTTATACATAAAAAGGTATGTATGAGTTAACCTGAGAAAGAATTTACACTAGATAATCAAATTCCATAGAGGGCTGCTTAAGTGCCAAGAAGCTCTAATTTGCTCAGCCTCATATCAGAATTTTATCTGAAGCTAGCTGGCCTGTGTGCTAACGTGGTTTTACAAAGCTCAATACTAGTGTAAATATCTAAACGAGTTATTCACCCAGAAATAATTTAGCTGAAATATTTATAGCCCAAGCTAAGCCGTACGGCTTAGCTTGCTAGTACAAATCCAGCAAGCATAAAAGGAATTTCTGCTAATAAGTCACAGCTTAGGATCAAAAGTAGGTTTAGATGCCACACGAGATGCTAAGTTACCTAAACCTTTGAGAAAGCAACAGCTGGTCGTACCTTGGATACTGAGCGAATACAAATGAGTTTAAAGAACTTATATGACGAATTAAGCAAGATGAGATAAAACAAGATGGATTTCCATACTTTTGTTGCTAAAATTAAATATGTCTTACTCACTGATCATCCAGGGGCTGGTTTCCAGCCCCTGGATGATCTTGGTGTGAAGGAATATTAAGGAATAACTAGAAGAAGGAAGAAATACTCGTATTATTAAAGAAAACTTACCTTTAGTAGGAGTAGTACTCAATAGGGGCGCTAAGGCTTCTTCTTGCTCTTCTTCCCTTCTCATTTTCTAATAATTTCTAATAATTATAAAAGGCAATTTACTCCTCCCAAAATGGGGTTTTGGGGTTTTGGGGTTTTGGGGTTTTGGGG